ATCCGCGGACCACGCGTCAGGGGTGGGAGAACGGCCGGGCGGCGCAGCGCAGCGGGGTGTGGCGGGGCGGGAGAACGGCTGGGCGCCATGCGGCGCGGCGGGAAAACGGCCGCAGACCACGTGTCAGGGTGGAAAAATGACCGTACCCCGAGGTGGAGTTCGCACATCAAGGTAAATTTTTGCGGCCAGAGCTGGTTGTAACCCGAAAAGTTCGTTAGTAGAGGTGTTCGTATCCCGAGGTACCACTGTATAAAGAAAGCTTCTAGTCCTCATGGTTATGTTAGCTGGGAATTCTTGGAGCAGCCAGCTCCCTACCTGTGGAGGCCACTGGATAGGCTGGTTTGTAGGCAACACACATCTCTTTCTGCATACTTACGGTTGTCCAGGCTAAAGACCTACCTGGGACAGGATGATGGTTTATTTAGCAGTGGAGTTGTTCAAGTAAGATATACAGCTGTGAGAATAACCTTGAGGAACGGGGAAGAACCACAACCAAGACAGTCAGATAAAAGAAACCTGAGTCTGGACTTGCAAGATTCTGTTACTCTAACCTTATAACAAACGTAGCATTAGCCTGCCTGACTTTGGTTTCCTCGTCAGGTCTACCTCGAAGGGCTGACAACAGCCCGCTTGTCATTTAATAACCAGAGTTCACATTTATCAGAAACAGAGTAGACCCACGTTAGAAGAATAACTGCCTGAGCTTATTTGGCTCAGGGGACGAGTCCTGCGCCTTCCGATTTTGCAAAGGAGGGATTCTTGGCCAGACCCTTCCTGCTGGGGTCTGCTTTGTAACTCCCCAGAGTCATTTTAATGAGATGGGGGGTGACAAATTTGATATCTATATCTATATATCTGTGCAGGCCCCTTTCTACCAAGTTTCCCATCTTGCGCTAGATTTAACAACTGTTGCACGGTTGCCATTTTGCATACAAAATTTCTGTCAAAACACTATAAAGATTAGAAGAAAACACGCAGTTAGGGCAATAGTCACATTGAGGGGAAAACAACAGGCAAAAAAGGCTTCCGGAGCAGTGCCATCGTAGCAGGATCCAAATAAGTCCTAATTAATATAAATAGGCTAAATAATTAAGCTAAATACAAAAGCTGATGGAAGGGCCATTGTAGCTTATAACACAGGAGACATCAGAGGAAGAAATGATTGAGGGTCACCTAGTGAAGCAACATTGGGAACATGGATGGACAAGGGAAGGTCCTCTTGATGTAGGATCGATCTACCATTGGGGCAAGTCCCTCACTTTTGATCCAGCTGGAATTTCTGGATTGATTTGAAAAGTCAGGTTTGGACTTTCGAATTCATTTGGAATGAGATGTGCTCTGATCGGATGTTTGATTTGATCTGAAAAATAGATCTGACATGATTTGGACATTGGAATCACCTCAGAAATGAGATAGGATCCAAATCAGATTTCCAGTTCTGAAAT